CTCCCTGCACGCACCCCACTGATGTCCGCATCAGAGCTCGGGCGGGATTCAGGCGAAGGAAAGGACTTTTCTTTTGCCGGCATCAGAGCTCAGGCGAGCGAAAGCAAGTATTTTAATCAGTGGGCTGCACGCAGGGACAAATATCTCCTCTCCTACCTGCACGCATCCCACTGATTAAAGTGCTTCCTCTGGCCCGCCTCATCTCTGCTGCAGGCGAAAGTGAGCTGGGAGGAGAGATTCCTCCCAGCATGCACCCCACTGAAAGAGTGTGGATGGGCAGCGGAGCGAGCGACAGCTGATGGGCTGGGGAGCGGGACTTTTTGAAAACTGCGCGGGGCACGGGACAAATTGTACAAAAGTGTGTCTGTCACGCTGAAAGCGGGACGTCTGGTCACCTTAACTATAAAGTCCTTCATGGTATGAGGGTTTTAGAGGGACTGCCTATCTCAGTGATGGCTAATCTTTTTTTTTGGTGCCGAAATCATGTGTGCCCACAGCCATAATTCAACCCCCCATGCATTCGTGTACAACCCCTCTGCTCCCCCTCCTTGCATGTGTGCACAACCCTCCTGCTGCCCCACCGTGCATGCATGCACACGTTCCCTGCCGCCCCACCATGCATGCGTGCCCAACCCCCTGCTGCCCCCATGCATGCATGCACAAACTCCCCGCTGCCCCCGTCCATGCGTGTACAACCCTCCTGCTGCCCCCCGTGCATGGGTGCACACACCCCTGCTGCCCCTCCATGCATTTGTGCACAACTCCCCCGCTGCCCCCATGCATACATGCACAACCCCCCTGCTGCCCCTCCGTGCATGCGTGCAGAACCCCCCAGTGCCCCTCCGTGCATACGTGCCCAACCATCTGCTGCCCCCCCGGGAATGCGTGCCCAACCCCCCGCTGCTCTCCATGCATGCAGGCACAACCAACCCCCCACTGCCCCCCATGCATACGTGTAGAAACCCTCCGCTGCAGTCCATGCATGCGTGCCCAACCCCTCCCTGCTGCCCCCATGCATGAGTGCACAACCCCCGTGTGCCCCTCCGTGCATGCTTGCAGAACCACCCCGCTGCCCCTCCATGCATGCGTGCCCAAACATCTGCTGCCCCCATGAATGTGTGCCCAACCCCCAGCTGCCCTCCATGCATGCATGCACAACCAACCCCCCACTGCCCCCCATGCATACGTGTTGAACCCCCCGCTGCGCTCCATGCATGCGTGCCCAACCCCTCTCCCCTGCTGCCCCAATGCATTCGTGAACAACCCCCCGCTGCCCTTCCATGCATGCATGCCCAACCCCCCTGATTCCCCCGTGCATGCGTGCACAATCCCCCGCTGCCCCCATGCATGCGTGTACAACCCCCACTGCCCCCCTGGGCATGCGTGCATGACCGCCCTGCCCTCCTGAAACCTGGAGGGGGAGAAAATGGCCTCCCCTGTCCCTCTGGAGGCTCTTTAAGGGCCAAAAAGTATCTGGCCGGTGCGCACATGTGCGCTGCAGCTGACCTAGGGCAACTGCTCTCAGAGATGTGTCCACGTGCCACCTGTGGCATACATGCCATAGGTTTGCCATCACGGGCCTATCTCATCATGTTTTTGGCCATTCAGTAAAATCAGGCTCACTTGCTCTCTTCAGAACGATTCAAATAAATGATTCCCTGTCATAGTACTGTTCTCTAGAATCATCTTCTGAAGATCTGTTAGCTCTTCTCCCAGGCCTAGTTTTAAGTGGCTGTGGAATCATGTTGGTTGGTGGATGGATAGATAGGTGGGTGGGTGGATGGATGGCTGGATGACTGGATAGATAGATAGATAGATAGATAGATAGATAGATAGATAGATAGATAGATAGATAGATAGATAGATAGATAGATAGATAGATAGATAG